ATAGTGAAACAAGTGAAACAAGTGAAACAAGTGAAACAAGTGAATTTATTTCTGCAAATAGGCTACAAGGCAGCACTTTTACACGTCAATTTTATCAAGCGAACGATGAGGTCGACATTTCCTAACTGACTACTCTGAGAAGAAATGCCGAAACAAACTCAGAGGTCTGTCTCTTTTAAAGTCCAGACAATATGTATAACAGATTATGTGTGAGAACCGTGCCAGTTCTTTCTGTAGTGGGCTTTTGAGGAAAGAACCACAACAGTTTGAGCGGACCCGTTCTGAAGGCAGTACGCATGTGTCGGTTTACAGTCAGCTCAATTAACAGGTGAGGCTGACTGATTCGACGAACAATACCAACCTAAAGAACATTTGCGTGGGTCGCACAAATACTCAAACTGTCAGAAAAAGGGTAATTAGAAAAGAAATGGTGAGGCAAAGTCTCGCACGGTCCTAGCACTAACAATTGTTAAATAAAATAAGTAGTAAGTAAGTAAGTAAAAAGTAAATGTCAAGTTAGAACAACAGATACACATACAGAACAGATAAACAGTGGACTTACAACTGAAAACGTTTCTAAACACTCTTTAATTACTTTTTATACTTTATTAAGTATTTGGGTACTCTACTAATCATTGGTATTTATTTAATAGTTGACTTCTAAGATTCAATACATTTCAAACTTAAAAGTAACAATTACGTTACATTAACTAAAATCGCTGGTTACTCACGTGAATATAGGTACTGAGAAAAGCTCTACTAGTTTCGAACCACAGTCGGGTTCTTCCTCATGGGCAGCGTGCGCGGTCGCGGCAAAGTCGCGCAGCTCACTGTAACCCGCGATTTTAGTTAATTTAGTATGTCTCACAATAGTTATTATAAACATGAATACACATGCACAGTAGGTACTTACGCTATCAAACAAATTGTATATAAACCTAGAAAAATCTGAAGTAGTTACATAGTTATTCCCCATCTAGCGGTATACCTCACACTTAACCATAAATAGCTTCCAGTTTTATATACCATTCGTAAATTACCCAATTCACACTATTTTTCACGTACCGTCAACATTGCGGTCGCCGAACTAAACGTGGGCGGAGTCGGCACGTGTGTCGTGACCCTTATTTAAGGGTCGAGCCACACTTTGCTCAACATAGCTTTTAAGTTAATTGCAGCAGTGAATTTATGTTCTGAAATAAAACCAGGGGTGAATAATTACTTTGCGAGTTCGAAATCATTTTTAATATGGCCGCGGATAGTTTAATTAGTAATATTTTTTTGTTGGCTGTAAGTATTTAGGTAGTGCTATTTTCCCGCGTCTATTTTCCCGTTTACGACGTCAACTAATTAAATTTGACGTTTATTAATATGAGCATGTGTGGTTGTAATTAGTATGTAAAAAAGAACTTCAAAGAAAAATTACAAGCGATTAAATATTTACTATAATTTGACGGTTACTAATCTACTCATTTTTTTTTGTTTTTTTTTTGCTCATTAACCTTGTGTTGTTTATGGCTTTTTAGTCTCTGTAGAGTAACACCTCCTTGCTTACTTGTCAGGGTATAAAAGACGTATATTTGTACGTCGTTTTGTTATCATAAATCACATGTATAACATGGTAA